GAAAATGGCATACAAAGGAGGTAATGAAGCAAGTGCAAAAATGGAGCCTCAAACAGTGAGAGGCCCTTAAACAAATATGAAATAGAGCTCAAAAAAATGATATTTTCAGTTAGGGGCGGAGCCCCAACGTGCAAGCACAAAGAGCTAAGATGTGAACCAAGAAAAGGGTCAAAAATGGGAGAAGAGGACTTACCCTTGAAGACTAATCTTTGACAGCGTTTTGGACCAAGAAATGCTGCCTCCTAAGCTTTGAGAAGACCCTCCAAGCTGCTGGAATGGAGTGGTGGTGTGGTGCTAGGTGATGGTGAGGAAATGGTGCAAGAATCAAAGGGTTTTTTAAGGCTTAGAGTAGAGAGAGAGAGAGAGATTTAATGTGAGAGCTCCAAACCAAAATTTTCTAACCCCTAAAACACAGCTGGGGGGTCTTTTATACAGACACAAGAGGGTGGAAAAGAGGGGGAAAAATGGGGGGGAAATGAAATTCAAATTTCCCCCCAAAATTGGCCTAAAAGGGAGATAAAGGGGAAAGTGATAGTAGGAGATCTCAAACCAAATAGAGCCCTTCAACAAAGTTGAATATGGGCTCAAAATAAGACACTTTGTAGTTTATGATAAGCCACAAAAATAAATACAAGTAGGCCTAAACTATCATGCAAAAAAAGGCCTAAAAGAGGGGTAAAGAAGCAAGTGGAAGTAGGAGATCTCAAACAGAAAAAGGTCCTTAATCAAACATGAAAAGAACCTCAGAATATGACTATCTCAAGTTTGGGTCGGAGCTCAAAAATGCAGAATGAAGGTTCGGGAGTCAAAACACGCAGTTCGACGCCCCGAAAGTGGGCTGTTAGGCACCGGAAGTGATGTCCGACCACGAAGTTGGTCTCTCAGACCGCAGTGTCCCTCAAAAGGGAGTAAATAAGATGTATGCCAAAAAATGGAGCAAACGGAGGTGGTTAAGCGGTCCTGAACCGAGGCACACGGCCAACGGCTCCGAAAAACCGGAAACCGGACTCCAAACGGGCAAAACGGCCTACGACCACGAAACGTAGCCTACGGCCACTGAGAGATGATCTATGAGACCTCTCCATCCCTTCGGGAAGAGAAAACAAAGAAAACAGAGCCTGGTTCGCAAACCGAGGCAAAGCACAAAAGAGTCCGGAAGTCCGGAGGCAGGGCTCGTAGCCGAGACTCTGAAACTTCTGAACGAGCACAATATGCAATATCACCAAGCGCTCAACTGGTGACGTCTGAGTCTCAAGGTCGGTCAAAAATGGGGTGTCTACAAGCATGTACCACTTTTACACTCTCACATCCATCACTCTTTAAATGCTTTTGAGAGTAATGCTTGATGCCTTGCTTGTGAGCCAATTTGTGTGCATGTTTGTCTAGCCTTTTGAGCTTCCATTCCAGCATGTTTAGGCCATTATTTTGATGTGATTAAGCTCTATCTAGAGCTGGTTTGGCCATTTGAGCATTGTCTTGCATGCCTCTTGTGTGATACACTTCACTAGCTTTGATGCCTTGGCCTTAAACATGCATTATTTGAGTTGTTTGCATGATTTTGAGTCATTTAGCATGTGATTTCAGTGCTAAAATATATGCCATTGCACTCCATGGTTTCACTCTTTCATCTGTTTTGAAAGAGGTCTTTAGCCCTTGTTGGCTTGAGCATGGAATTGTGGCTCTCATGCCTAATGGTTTTAGCCTTCTCTTGAGGGTTTCTACTAACCAAAAGCATGAGGCTTCTTTCATTCTCAAGGTGCTTGTGGCTGAGGCCATCTTTCCCATTAGAGGACAATCACATTGAACTTAACTGGTTAATGGACTAATTGGTAAGTTAAAATGATTAAACAAGAATTGAATCAAGTAAAACATGCCAAGATAACATATGTGCGTTGCATTGCATGTGTTTGGATCGGATGTTAATCCAAACACAAGGAATGTGGCACGTTTCATACTCAAAGTGATGAAACATGTTGTGTTTCTTGGTCGTTGTCACCCTTGATCATGCATGATAGGGTGATGACACTTAGAGTCTTATGTGTGCATTCACTAACATTGTGCAAGCTTTACTCTTTGGCCATCATGCATTGAGATGCGTGGTTGGTGGCTTGAGAGTCGAGTACTATGCTCCTTTGAGCTTGAAACATGATAAGGAGTGTGGAAATGCATACATTCCCTTGCAAATACACTGCCATGCCTCTGTTTGTGCTCTGTTGCAGTAAAAGGAGGAATTTCAGGGAAGCTGTGGCCGACCGGCCACCAAAGCCAGTCGACCGGCCATCATTACTGGCCAATGGCCACCATCTCTGGCCGATGAGCCCTCAGAGTGTTCTTGAGATCAAACAGAATCAATCTGGAAGTTGGCACAATTTTCAGACGTCCAAAAGAGTGCAAACAGAGGCATCAAGAGGCAAGGCAGTGGATTTCCGGGAGGACACAACCGAGCATGCATATCTCCCTCGTCCGCGAGGCCATTTATTGCTTTGATAGCTAGATGTAGTTAATTACATGTGTTGTAATTAATTAGTTTAAATTATTTTGTAATATTTTAATTAGCTTAGATTAGCTAGTTATTCAATTCGGTTTGTAATTAATTAGGTAGAATAGTTAATTAGTTGGTTTGTAATAAGTAGCTTAGCTTAGCGTAGCTAGCTTAGTTTATTTATTCGGACCTTCCTTTGAGAGGGCACAATGTTGTAATAAGGGTGTGTGTGTGTGTGCATGTCTTCAACCCCCACTTCTTTCTCCCTTTTACTTATCCGCTTTCGATGGTTAGTTTTAGGACATATTTCAATTAGCATACTTATGCTTTGCATGCTTGCATCATGCATTTGCCTTGCATGCACCGGGCTCGACGCATCATTCAAACTACATTGTATTTCAATACCTATTTGAATACTACATGTATCAATTGTTGCATTCATATGCCATCTTAGATAGCCGAGCCTATTTAGTTGCATTTTTGCATGTGTTGCATTAGGCATTTTAACATGGCGAGGATCATGCATGATTTCTAACTAGTTTTCTATTTTGGCTTGGAGTACACTGTAAGTGTTTACACTTTAGCATCCTTGCATGAGTGTAAGTGCTGCCATGATAGCATGCTTGCCATGAGGCTATTTGCTTAAGTGATTAACTGCATGAATGCCTTTGGGTGGAGGCTTGATTGCCTGAATTGGAATAACTCGATGATTGTTAGTTTTAAGCCCACTTTACGAAGTGGCAAAATCATGTTTTAAAGCCCACTTGAGGGTGGAAAATCCGCGCTTTAGCCTACTTGCGAGTGGCACTTTCAAACCATTTTCAAAAACAAACATGAGTTGTTTTGTTCCAATTCTCGTGATTGCGTCTATACTTGTATGCTGTGCGCATCACATAGTAAAGTTAGCTAAATAACCGGAATAAGAACACATGTGTTTTCAAAACAATATATCATGCTTAGTAGAGGCCGATCCTTTGATCGGGCGAGCAGCGGTGCTCATTTCAGGACCTTCCCCTCTCGTACCCAAGTTAAAGGGTTCGGAAGTCCGGAGGCAGGGCTTACGGCCGCGACTCTGAAAATTCTGAACGAGCACATTATGCAACATCACCAAGCGCTCAATCGGTGACGTCTGAGTCTTAAGGTCGGTCAAAAATGGGGTGTCTACAGTGGCCTTTGGCACGAGTCAGGGATTCCTAAATTTCCCAAAAATAAAACATATAGGTGGCGACTCTGTAATTTGGCAAAGCAATCCATGTTTGGCGCTTTTTGATTCAAAATTGATTTTTCAAAACCAAGTGCCGGATTTGGACTCTTTGGTGATTTATCAGTCTTACATTGCACTTTGTGAGATTAGATTCAGAACCATGGCTGGGAGTCTGAACTGTTTAACGCACGCGGGTACCCCTCGGGCCTACCACAGGAGTCTTAGAGATAGATTATGTTCCAGGTACTACATCAATGGTAAACTCAATTTCCCTATCAATTAGGTTTCCGGGTAGGTCATTAGGAAATACATCAGGAAATTCACAAACCACATGAATGGTTTCCATGCTAATACTATCTAAAGACACAATCAACACACTGCACAAATAGCCCCAATAACCTTTTCTCAAACAATTTTTTGGCTTTCATAAATGAAATCAAGTATGGTGGAGGAACTACCTCATTCCCAGTGAAAACAAACTCAGGCATACTAGGTGGTTTAAACGTGATGGTTTTATTCACACAATCAATAGTGGCACAATATTTCGACAACCAATCCATACCCAATATATAATCAAAATGGTCAATGCTCAAGGGTAGCAAATCAACGTACAATGTCATATCACCAATCAAAACGTCACATGCAGGATATACATAAGTGTACATCATAGAACTTCCCAGTGGTGTAGACACAGATAGTATGCAATTCATATGTTCTAATGCTCTAGTCAACTTCCGAGAAAAAGCATGTGATACAAATGAATGCTTAGAATTAGAATCAATCAGTATATTGGCATTCTGTGCACAGATAGAAATTATACCTGACACCATTGGTTCATATTTTGTACATCCCCAAGTACTAGAACAAACACTCTCCCTTGCCTTAGTGTTTCATTCTCGGTGTTATTCCTGGCATTAGTTCTCACATTGGGCCTCGTTACAGGAGTAGATCCAGTTGAACTTGCTATTGGATGATTTGCATTGTCAAACCTCATTAGACAGTCCTTAATTATGTGACCAGTTTTCCCACACCGAAAACACGCGCCTGATGCACGATGACACATGCCTTTATGCTTCCTTCCACATTCTAAATAGATTGGCATAGACCCACTACTTTTGCTTGAGTTGCTTAAACACCCAGTATTTTGCTTTTTGTTTGCGAAGAAGGAACAACTCCTCTGAAATTACACCCAGATCTTTTACTTCTCCATTCTAATGTTGGTGCCTTGGCTTGTTTCATTGCTGCTAGGGTGGCTTCCGCCATTATCGCTCTATTTAAAACTTCCACATAGGTAGGTAATTTCAAGATGCCTATTCAGTCAAACACTTCCAAATCCAGTCTGCCTTCAAATTTCTGTGCCTTCTTGTAATCAGTATCCACCCTATATGGAGCAAATCGAGCAAATTCAGTAAATTTGGCCTCATACTCAGCCACGGACATCTTGCCTTGTTTAAGTTCTTGGAATTCAAAAACTTTCCGATCCCGAAAACATTGAGGAAAGTATTTATCCTAGAAGATCACATTAAATTGTGCCCACATCATATTCCCATTACTGTTTCGAATTAGCAACCACCACTTTTGGGCTTCATCTTTCAGAGTATAGGTGGCCAGAAGGACTTTCTGAATCTCAGAACAAGGGAATACTTCAAATAGTTTCTCCATTTCAAGTAGCCATGTTTCTGCTTTTAACAGTTCAATGCCACCCGAAAAGGTCAGCGGTTTCATTTTCAGGAACTTCTGAGTTAAATTTATGAGATCATTGTTATCCGACTCAACTTGGACTGGCGGGGGTGGGAGACGTAAGGGTTGGTGCCTCTATTGCTGTTGAGCTATTGCCTCAGTTAAAGCTGCAAGCATTTGTTCTATGTAGCTCATTCGAGCCTCAGATGATTCACCTATTCCATCACTTCTTGTATTTTCCATTTGCTATAGGTAAACAAAACATTATAAACATAGGCAAATAGTCCTTTTACAATATTTAGATCATTTGTTTCTATATCATGTGATCATAATCAAATTTAGGTTTTCACTTTCAATGAACACACACTTACACATGCAGATGGAATGCCCCTACTTCTTACTAGGACATCCTAAGCTCATATGGACTCGTGTGTGCTGTAGAACACGTGCTCTGATACCATTTTGTCACGACCTAAACCTACCCCTATAGGTTTAGCGTCGTAACCGGCCTGTAATCCTTGGATTACCAAAGTGTAGACACCCCAATTTTGATGGCCCTTTAAGACTTGGGTGTCCTTGCAGGTACATCTGATGATGAGTCTGTTTGTTCGCCGAACGCTCGAATTCCTCAGCGGAACACCATAGCTTTGAGCCTTTCAAACCCTACATCTATTTTGTCTCATTTTTGGACCATGCCTTGGTCTTTTTAGCCTGCAATCTCTGGTGGCCTGTCGGCTATCATTTCTTGTCTGACGGCTATTGATGTGCCTTGTCGGCCATCAATGATGTCTTGCTGGTCATCACTAATGGTCTGCCGGCCACCAATGTTTTCTGCAGATAGTTTTTGCCAGTCGTGCTAGATGTTTACACAGATACTTGCATTTGTCCACACGTGGAGGGCTAGATCTCCTTGTATAGATTTCATGTTTTCTATATATAGGGACCTCATCTCTCATGTTTTGAGGTTAGAAAATTTTAGACTTAAAATTTTTCCTCTCTTTCTACAAATTCTCTACACTTTTGCCTACTTACACTACACTCTTACACATACTTCATTAACCAAAGTTGATCACCTTTGAGTTGAGGTTCCTTGAGGCCTTCTTGGAGCTCTTAAAGTTGGTTTTGGTTTGAGTTGTTGCCTAGAATCATTCTTCTCTTCAAGAGGTATAATACTAGCTTTGTTAGCTTGCTTTGAATACTTTTTTTTTTCCATATCTTTTCAAACTATTTTTGGGCTGTTTTTGAGCTGTAAAAAAGTTTGTTTTCAGGCAATTTAAGGTTAGGGGGTGGCTCATCCTTCTTGATTCCTTGTTTTAAAAAGCCTTTGTACCTTTCTTTCCCATTTTCAAACCATCTTTTTTGGGTCTTTAAACATTGAATTTTAGAGTATTTTCAGTGGTGAAAATTGTGTTTTGAAGTCCAAATCTGGAGGGGTTAGCCTCCCCTCTTTGTGTCTTGTTTGCAAGCCTAGTTAGTGCCATGCTTTAGCGTATTTTTCTAGCTTGTTGTAGCTTACTTCCAGCATATTTTAGCCTCTAATTTAGGCTGTTTTAACTCTGTTTTGGGTTGGTTGTTGCATTTGAGTTTTGTTTTGCATGCTTGTAGTGTAATAGTCCTCACAAGTTTGGTGTTTTAGGCCACTAGACATCACTTGTTTGAGTTGATTACATGTTTTTAGAGCTTTTCATACTTCATTTCAGCACTAATCATCTTTACAACCTCCCCCCTTTCTTAGCTTTTCATTTTGCTTTGAAAGTGGTTTCAAGTCATTTGTGTGCCTAAGTGTGAAATTGAGGTTTCATACTTAATGGTTTAATTCCTAAAGAGGTTCATTACCAACGGTATAAGACTTCTTTTATACTTAAAGCAACTTGTGTTTTGAACCTTCTTTCCATTAGAGGAATTTAATTCACCCTTTGGACTTAATTTGATTAAAGGATGGTTGGTAATCTAAAATGAGTAACTAAAAATTGGGATTTAAAGATGAGCAAGATAATAACTTAGTATGTTCATTTGGACGTTAATTGAACACAAGAAAAATTGGGACATTTCATACTCAAAGTGATGAAATGTGTCAAGTTTCCAAGGTCTCCATTGCCCTTCATCATGCATGATAGGGTGATGGTTTTGTGTGTCTCATTTTGCATTTATTGAACTTGCACATCTTGAATCACAAGCCATCATGCAATGAAATTGCTTGAGTTGGTGGTTTGTGGCTTAACTTCACATTTCCTTGGATTTGTTCATGAAAGGGAGGAGTGAGTTGTGCAAACAATCTGTGAGAATACCCTCTTTTTGCTCTGTTTGTCCCCTGTTACGGCAAGATGAACCAGTGCATCAATGGCCAGTAGAGCACCATCCATGGCCAGCAGACCACTTCCATGGCCGACAGGTGGCCGACAACATTCACCAGTGGCCAGCTAGCCATTGATGCAAATCTCAACAGAATGTTGGTAAGGTGGAGCAAAATGGTTTTGGAAGTGTTCAACTGTGCAAACAGAGGCTTTCGAGACCAAAGAGGAGGCCTTTTCGAGTGGAAACCAAGCATGCGCATGCACATCTTTCATTTCCCGAGGCGAAGCAGTTAATTAGCTTAGTTTAATTACTTAGTTAAATTATTAGTTGCAATTGTTTTGTAATTATTTAATTAGCTAGTTAGCTAATTAGTTCATTTGTTTTTGTAATAATTAGTCTCTATTTCATGTCACGCGGCGCATAGGTGCATGCCAACTTCATAGGCGGTATACATCCCTTTCACTACCTCGTGGATGCCCTCTCGAAATACGTCGAAATCCTGTCGACCAACCATCGACTACTGGACCTCCGGTGGAAAAATCTGTCGAGCAAACTCGGCCGTCACACCCAGGTCCTTGATAATGGAGTCCGCCTCTGTCATCGGTTTATTCCCCACGAAAATTGCAAAACTCAACGATCGCGGGGCCACGTCGGCCTCATTTCTCGGCCGTGGTCGCGGAGAACCTCCTCGTTGCTATTTCTCCTTTCAAGGTGATCTGCTTTGACGACTTGGAGGCTGACGTTTTTCCCATTCTTTGGACGCCTTACCTCCCGCACGGGTGGGTTCGCTGCTGCGATTCATTGCAGTATCAAGCTCAGCCAAAGTTCGCTCTTCTCCTTTATTGTTGAAGAAAACTCTATTTGACATTCGCAGTTGCCCCAAAGTAGTTTAAATCGAGCCTGAATAAAAATAAATAGAGTCACTGGCATGAACTCACCCCACTTATTCGTATGTATGCAGCGCCCCTGAGGCGACATCATTAATGCCAAACGCCAGAAGCCAAATGCCGATCGATCTATGCCGCAGCCATTCCACGAACTAGGCCTATTCGGCTAATCAAGCTCGTACATTGGCTGGGGCAAGGGAAGATTTATTAATCTTATCGGCCAAGTATTTAAGCCAAACGCCGATCAACGAATGCGGCAGCCATTCTACGAGCTAGTCCTATTCGGCTTATGAAGCTCATGCACTGGCTAGGGAAAGGGCATATTTATTAATCTTATCGGCCAAGTATTTAAGCCAAACGCCGATCAACGGATGCCACAACCATTCCACGAACTAGTCCTATTCGGCTTATGAAGCTCGTGCACTGGCTGGGGCAAGGGTAGATTTATTAATCTTATCGGCCAAGTATTTAAGCTCAATGTCGATCGCTCTATGCCGCAGCCATTCCATGAACTAGTCCTATTCGACTTATGAAGCTTGTGCACTGGCTGGGGCAAGGGCAGATTTATTAATCTTATCGGCCAAGTATTTTAAGCCCAATGCCGATCGATCTATGCCACAGCCATTCCACGAACTAGTCCTGTTCAGCTTATGAAGCTCGTGCACTGGCTGGGGCAAGGGCAGATTTATTAATCTTATCAGCCAAGTATTTAAGCCCAATGCCGATCAATCTATGCCGCAGCCATTCCATGAACTAGACCTATTCGGCTTATGAAGCTCGTGCATTGGTTGGGGCAAGGGCAGATTTATTAATCTGATCGGCCAAGTATTTAAACGCAATGCCGATCGGTACTTGGTATTAAAAACAAAGTGTAGCCATTTTGCATGCAAAAGCAATATCATTCATCAATAAAAAAATTTAGCACAGATAACAGCAAGGAAAAAAAGGAAATTTTCATTAGGAAATTGGGCACAAATTGTAGCCATTTTACACATGAAAATTAACAAACAAAAAGTTGTAAAAAATACATTCGAAAACTCCTAAAACAAAACAACAAAAAAGGTGTTGCCCAAATTAATCCTCAGAGTCAGACTCCAGCGGCTCAATATCCACTTACTCGTATGGAATTGGCATAGCCGATGTCACATCAGCAGCAGCAAGGGCTTTGAGCCAGACGTGTTTGAATCTCCGATTTTCAAATTTGGGGACTTCGTTTACATATTCGGCGAAGGCATTACTTTTCCCAGCCTCGAATGCCTTAGAAGCCTCCGAGTCGGCTGCTTCCTTCGCCTTCTTTACTTCCTCCAACTCAGCCTCTAGTTTGGAGACCGCCTCCTGGGCCAATTTCAGTGCCTCTTCACTTGCGTCTGCCTTTTTCTCGGCGGATAACCTCAATTCATCCGCATTTCGTGCCCTCTCCATCTCGGCCTCAGCCCGCGCACCTTCCATCTTTGCCCTTAAAGCCTCAAACTCAGCCCTGCTCCTTTGGCCCTCAACTTCCGTTTGAAGATGACCGAGTTGTTTGATGGCATCATGATGGCGACGGCCCATCTCCGTTATCCTTCTGACGGTCTGCAAAACAGGAAGTTAGGACCAAAATAGTATTTGCATAAAGTGAAAAGACAAAGTCAAGATATATACCAAAAGTGCCGACTGCACGGCCAACGCTATTGCAACCAAATCTGACTCTGCCCGGAAAGCTGCCTTGTCAGCCAGTAATGAAATGGACGTAGCCATGCTGAGAGTGACCACTGGATCTTTAATTACCAAAGCATCACAAGGGATCGGCGGGATTTTATTTTCAGTTGAATCACGAAAAACACAATCACATTTGATTCCTCTAACCGAGGTCGTTTGTCGGCGCAGTTATCTTCTAAGCCGGCCACAACCTCGGCAGGGCGCTTCTCTACCCTTTGTTCAGCCTCGTGATCGGCCTGCACAACCAACTCGGCCTCGGCACTTCGTTTTTCTGCTGTTCCCTCCTCAATAACAGGCAAGGAGGGCTGAGATTCGCTAATAGGTAGGGAGGGTTGAGATTCGGTAGTAGGAGGCACTCCAGCTCGAATGGCCTCTGCCCTTCGCCGTGCTGCCATCCTTTCTGCGTTTGCCTTCTTAGCAAGTTGTGTGAGGCTTAACCCAGCCATGTCTTTGGGGTACGCGCTGGGAAGGTCCTCTAGACCGTGAAAAATATTGTCAAGTGGAAGGTCCTCTCGGTCCGAAGTGGATGGAGGGTCGGCTGAGTTGAGGCTGGCTTCCTCAAAGGCTAGCTTCAAAGCCTCTTCGACTTCGGTTTCGGACTGATCAGACTCGACAACTTCAGCTACTTCTGGTCATTCCGAATCAGACCCCTCGAAATCGACTTGCCACAAATTTTTGAAATCGGTCAAGATAATGGCGGTAAGAAACTCCTCACTCTTCGGAACTGGGATGTTTTCTGCCGCGAAGAAGGTCGTATAAGTCAGATTGTAGCGGAGAAGAACGTGCGCCGCCCTCCCTTGTTTTTGAAGACTCAGCCGGCCAAAATATCTTAGTGCAACCTTGATTTTCGAAAGAACGGCATCGTCGGTTGAAGTTAAGGCTTTCTTCAAATAGTTCCCTGCACAAGCAAAACCATGAGGTCTCGAAAACAAAGCTTTATAAATATAACAAAAAACAAATAAAAGAAGTTACACAACCACCTAGTTCGCCCCTCCGTCTAGGGATAGGATTGAGGTGATCCTCGCCTTCGCTGAATTCCCAATTACCTTAGACAACGACCATGACATCATCGACTCGCTTCCCAGAGCTGGAAAGCATAGTCACTAGTTGATGGTCGATGTCCTTGGCCCTAAGAAAGTAACGCTCGTGCTGACCAAAAGACTTGGCCAAGGCATAATAATGCTGAATAGCAGGAAATGCCGAGGTTAATCCTAAGGCGACAGTTTAGTGCGATAATCCCCATTACGATTCTAAAAAAGTTGACATTGGGTTGGGAAGGGATTAAACCCCAATGGTAAAGCACAACCCTAAGGAATGGGTGAAGGGGAAAACGGACTCCACCCTCTACGATTGACAGGAGAGGGAAGACAATCGTGGTTTCATCAGCCCTCTCCATATCGAGGGTGCCGTCTTGTGACAGACGGACGTCATCAGGAATGGAGAAATGGCGTCAGAAGCTAGAGATTTGATCCGAGGAAAGGAGATCTTTTAAATGTTTTGCCATTTCTTTCAGTCTATAAGATCGTGCTAAGCCAAAAACAGAGCAAGATAAAAGATTCAGGGCAGAGAGGGAGAGAACTTACAAGAGACGAGGACGATAGTAAAGAAAAGGAAGTTATAGAGGTAATTCGGAAGGCAGTCCAGCGACGAGCGTCTAAAAGTGTGCATGCATTTGAAAAGACGCCCAAATTTTAAATCACAATAAATAGAAGCATACGAAGGGGCGGGAAGTTGAAGTGATAACCAAGAAGTGTGTGCTCAGAAATTTGCGTTGGGATGAGGTCAGCCGCCGAATTTCAGCTTTGACTTTTCGAGTCCGAAACCAAACACTCCAGCCAACTGTCGATTGGTGGAGTGCTTGGAGGGCAATTGTGGGGGCCAAATATTGGGAGCCGCTGAGATACCAAATATGTCGAACTCTAGGTCGAAATTTATAGCACTTAGCTCCATCTCACGCGCTCGAACCCTATCCTATTCGGCCCAATAGCCGGTCGGGCAAGGGGCCTAGTGAAAAGCAGCTTGTTACAGTTGAAGCTGAATAGCGAATTGAAAGTGGACCTGATCTCAGGCCCAAGAAAGGAAAGATATAAATAGATGGACATCAGCCAGGAAAAGGTATGTGAGAACTATTGTGCTTAACTTAGAATAGAAGTAATCCTGAGTGCTGAGACTAACTTGCCCGTCGGAGTGCTAATTCTGGCACCCCCGACCGGAGTGTTTATTCCTTTTTAGGTGACTTGCAAAGGATCACTAGCGTCCCCCAGGATCAGAAGAGTATTTCCAAACCACTTCTGCACAACTGTCTATCATCCTTAGACTGATAGGCAATCCGAGCGTACTATTCAGATCCTTGAGGATATGCTTCGAGGTTGTGTTCTTGATTTTAAGGGGTCGTGGGAGAGACACCTGCCCTTAGTGGAGTTTGCCTATGACAACAACTTTCAGTCAAGTATTGGTATGACATCGTTTGAGGCCTTGTATGGCCGACCATGTTGGTCTGTCGTGTGTTAGGCCGAGGTAGGTGATGCACCTATGTTGGGTCCAGAGTTGGTTCAGGAAACAACGGAGAAAGTTGCACTTATCCGTAAGAAGTTGGTTACAACTCAGAATCATCAGAAGGGCTATGCCAACTGTGAAGGCGGCCGTTGTCATTTGAGGTGGGAGATCACGTCTTCTTGAAGATATCACCTAGATGGGGTTTGATGAGGTTTGCAAAGAGCAGGAAGTTGTCTCCTAGGTTTATTAGGCTTTTTGAGATCCTAGAGCGAATTGGGAAGGTAACTTATCGATTGGCATTACCGCCACAGTTTTCAAGGGTTCATGACATGTTCCATATCTGTATGCTTCGGAAGCATGAGTCGAATCCTCCACACGTGTTGGATTGGACTAAGTTAGAGGTGGATGAAGATGCCTCGTATGAGGAGAGACTTGTTAGGGTTTTAGATACTTGAGATCAAGTCTTGTGAGGCAAGACGATTTCATTGGTAAAAGTGTTATGGCGACACCACGGGATTGAAGAGGCCACTTGGGAGCGTGAAGCGGAAGTCTGTGAGAAATATCCAAACCTATTCATTAATGTTTGAGCATGCATTGAAAACCTTATTATGTTAATGTAATATAAACATTGTATATGTTTTGGAAATGTGAATTGTATATTCAGTGTTTAAACTTGTTTATCGTGTTAATGAGAATGGATGACCGGTGGATGGGTCATAGTGATGAATTTAAATTATTATCACTGTTGTAAATGGTTTAAACTTGGTTTTCATGTGTGTTTTAAATTTCGGGGACGAAATTCCTTGAGGGAGGAGGTAATAGCGTTTCTGGTTTAGACTCGACCAATTTGATGTTTTAGATCTGGTTTTCATTGTTGTGGTGGCCAAATAATTTCAATTAGGAAGACGCTGACTTTGATCGACATCTGGCTAAAGTAATTCTGCCTTAACCAAGGGCAAAGCCATATAAAGAGCCGAGCAGGAGCCAACACTCAACAGAAAGGCTGAATAGGTAACCACATGCGAGACCAAGAGTGGGTCCGACCCTCAAGCCCAGAGGTAATATAAAAAGGGAGGAATGTCAACTAAAGCAGGTATGTGAGAACAGACAAAATAACTTGAGATAGAAGTAACCTTGACAGAATACTAACTTGTCCATCGGAGCGCTAATTCCGGCACCCTCGATCGGATTGTTCATCCCTTTTTCAGGTAGTAATCAGAGGATCAAGGACGTCTGGCTAGATCATGGAGTATTTCCAAACCACTTCTCCACAATTAGAGTCGTCTGTGGGAATACTCAAGCGCATCCATGGCAGGCATAACAAATGATCCTTCGGTAGTTGCTGATGACGTTACGCCAAGAGATGACATCACTCTAAGAAACATGCTTGGACCGAAGAATATCACCGCGCAACGGGCCTTGAACTTCGACTCAATAGCTCAGACCTTACCCTCAACTTCGATGCAAGAGACTATGCAGACAATCGTGGACCAAGCAAAGCGAAATTAACAACGACTAGAAGATATGATGGCGAGAAATGAGTGGCTGAGCCAGGAATTGGCCCTGGAGTTAGCCAAATCCCAGTAGGCCACATGCCATGATCGGGGTCGATCCCCAAGAAAGAAGAATGATCGATGACGTCGACTTCGAAAACATGATAATGGCAGTGATTCTGACTCACCATCCCAAGAACCCATAAAGAAGGGACTAGTTAATGTATCCAGTTCATCCAAAGGAAGCCTGTACGTATGGCACAGGCGAGGGAAAATAAGTGATGATTCAGATGAAGAAGACATCCATGACTCTTTTGTGTGACGTATCGCAAGGGCTGTGTTGCCCAAGAAGTTCAAAACACCGTCGTTCACCCTATATGATGGAAAATCAGATCCCACTTACCATATTCGTCATTATAAACAAGCGATGAGTTGCATGCCCATGATTAAGCCCTCATGTATCGAATGTTTCCAAGTAGCCTAGGACCGTTGGCCGTCAGATGGTACTATAAACTGGAGCCGGCATCAATAAGAAGCTTTCATCAACTCCAAAAATCCTTCAGGGCAAGATTCATTACCAACGAAGTTCAGCCAAAGCAAGCCGACTCTCTTTGGGCCATGCAAATTAAACCAGAAGAGATTCTCCGTGAGTATTCGGTGCACTATTGGGAATGTTTCAACTTGGTGGGTGATGCCTACAATGATTTCATGGCCATTACCGCCTTGAAGATAGGATTACATCCTGATAGCCCTCTACGCAGCTCATTGACTAGACGGCCCCCCAAAATAGTTTGGGGTTAATGAAAAAAGTCAAAGAATATTGTAAAGTGGAAGATGATGCCCTATGGGTCAAAGCTGGACAAAAAGCTGTTAAGTCGGCTCCATCTAGTCTTGTTCAGCCGATAAGCGTCGTGCCATCATGGAGTCCCAAACAAAAGAATCGGGCTAAACGAGACAAAATGGGTGATGCGCGCCGTTCAAGCGATCATTGTTCACACCAATCAAATGAACAATATCAAGTGGATAGCAGGAGCACAAGATGTTTGGACAAGAAGTACTGTCGAAAGTCCAACACCTTCCGTTCTTCAAGTGGCCGCCCAAGATGACGGGACCTCCGGATACAAGGAGACGGGATAAACGGTGTGAGTATCATAAAGACCACGGTCATGACACCGACAGTTGTTATGCACTGAAGGGTCACCTAGAGGAGCTAGTGCAAGACCGCCGACTGGCGCAACACGTCCAAAGAAATAGTTCATCAAACGCAGTAGCCTTACGGCCGGATTCGCCTCAATTTGGTGTAATTCATATGATATACAGCTTGCCAACATCATCCAAGGTGCATACGATTCAGGTGCAATCTAGGCCGATCACACCAGCGAAATGGCCCAATGAAACTGGGAGGATTAGTTTTGATGACACTGACTTGGTTGGAGTAACTCTCCTCCACATTGATC